TCGTAGAAGAAGTAGTAGTAGTAGTAGTAGTAGTAGTAGTAGTAGTAGTAGTAGTAGTAGTAGTAGTAGTAGTAGTAAGTAGTAAGTAGTAGTGGTAGTAGTAGTAGTAGTAGTAGTAGTAGTAGTAGTAGTAGTAGTAGTAGTAGTAGTAGTAGTAATAGTAGTAGTAGTAGTAGTAATATTAGTAGTGGTAGTAGTCGTAGTCGTAGCCGTAGCCATAGCCGTAGTAGTAGTAGTAGTAGTAGTAGTAGTAGTAGTAGTAGTAGTAGTAGTAGTAGTAGTAGAAGCAGAAGAAGAAGTCGCAGTGGTAGTAATTAGTCGTAGCAGTGCGGCGCCGACGACGCCGAAGCCGAAGCCGACGACGCCGATGAGGACGACGCCGACTACGACGCCTACGACGCAGTAGAACCACAGCAAAACCACAGGAAACGACAGGACACCACAGCAAAGTCACAGCAAATCCACGTCAAACCACAGCAGACAAAACCACAATCTCCTCTCCTCCTTTTCTCTCCTCCCCTCCTTTTCTCTCCAGGCCCTCAAGAGGCTTCAAAACAACCCACGAAGCCCCCAAGAGATCCCCAAACGCCCCAAACGACCCGCCAAGAGGCCGCCAATAGGCCCCAAACCGAAACGACTCGGAAGCAGCTTCCAAAACAGCTTCGGAAACAGCTTCCGAAACCGCCTCCTAAAGATCTTCCGAAACCGCTCCGAAACATTTCCGAAACAGTTCCGAAACAGCTCCGAAACGGCATCCGCAACGGCTTCCAAACAGCCTCCGAAGCGGTCCCGAAATAGTTCCAAAACGGCTCCGAAACAATTTCCGAAGCAGCCTCCGAGACAGCATCCGAAACAGCTTCCGAAATAGCCTTCGAAAGACAGTACGAAATTGCTCCGAAACGGCTTCCGAAACAGTTACCGAGGGTACCAAACCGAACCGAGGAGGAGGAGGAGGAGGAGGAGGAGGAGGAGGAGGAGGAGGAGGAGGAGGAGGAGGAGGAGGAGGAGGGGGTTTGAATCCGAAAACCCGGACTTTCGAAAGTCCGGGTTTTAATTTTTGGATTTCCGGGTCTACAGTTAGGAGGAGGGGGATGGGGGGAGGGGGAGCGGGATGGGGACGGGGGAGGGGGAGGGGAGGGGGAGCGGGAGGGGACGGGGGAGGGGGAGGGGGAGGGGGAGGGGGGAGGATGAGGAGGAGGAGGAGGAGGAGGAGGAGGAGGAGGAGGAGGAGGAGGAGGAGGAGGAGGAGGAGAGGAGGGGAGGAGAGGAGGAGGGGAGGGAGGAGGAGGAGGAGGAGGGGAGGAGGAGGAGGAGGATGAGGAGGAAGGAGGGGAGGAGGAGGAGGCGGAGGAGGAGGAGGAGGAGGAGGAGGGCGGAGGAGGAGAGGAGGAGGGGAGGAGGAGGAGGAGGAGGAAGGAGAAAGAAGGGGAACATGAGGAACATGAGAGGAAGAGGAGGAGGAGGAGGAGGAGAAGGAGGAGGAGGAGGAGGAGGGGAGGAGGAGGAGGAGGAGGTAGGAGGAGGAGAGGAGGAGGAGGAGGAGGAGGAGGGGAGGGGAAAATGGAGGGAGGATATGGAGGAGGAGGGGGCAGGGGGAGGGGATCTAGAGGAGCAGGAGGAGGAGGAGGACGAGGAGGAGGAGGAGCAGGAGGAGGAGGAGGAGAAGGAGGATGAGGATGAGGAGGAGCAGGAGGCAGGGGCAGGAGCAGGAGCAGGGGGAGTGCGAGGAACAGGAGGAGGAGGAGGAGGAGGAGGAGGAGGAGGAGGAGGAGGAGAAGAAGGAGGAGCAGGAGCGAGGGGAGTTCGAGGAGCATGAGGGGGAGGAGTAGCAGGGGGCGTTGGAGGCCTCTCATCGGCACGGGCGGGCGCGACACCGGGCGGGCGGACCGAGGCGCAGAGCACGGGAGCATTGCCGAGGACGGAGGGAGGCAGGGAGGCCCTCGCCGCCCATCTCAATGGGGCCCTGAGCGATCTCCCCGGGCCGAGGCGGCGCCCGCGGCAGAGGCCCCGCTGGCGGCAGCCGCGGTGGCGCCGGACCCCGCGACGGCCGCGGCGGCTCCGCCCTCCAAGGCAGGATTTGGTCTCCGGCCCAGACTTAGGTCGGGCATGTCCTCCTACAGGCGGATTTTGGATGAAAAATCAGACATTGCTTCAGAATTCTCATTGCAAGTGGTCCAAATATCTTGCCCAGACCATGTGTTACACTGTTTTTGGATCTTCCTCCTGTAGGGGGATATGCCCGACTTAGGCCCAGGCCTCTGGTTGTGCTTGTTGGTGCTCTCGGCCTCGGCCTCCCGAGGGGGCGCTCTCGAGCCCAGATGGCACCTCGGGCGCAACGTAGATACGGATATCAAAAGAAACGCACACACACACACATCATCGTCAGCTCTCAGGAAATATGGGTGGGGAAGACGAACATCCAGAATAGATAGAAAAATATGGGGAATCCTGGGATTCGTGTCTACTGAGTTGCGTGTCGCTTGGCCCCTTCAGTAGAAGGGGGGTATGCTCAGAGATGGGACGCGCCGACCCCTAATCGCCTGTTCATCGCCGGCAGGGGCCCGGTAGCCCACACTGCCTGGGACCGTGCGGCCTCGCTATCGGCGGCCTATCGCTATTCCATCGGCGATGTGTCGCCGATTCCAGGTCGGTGTTTCAGCCCCTGAGCCCATCCCCCCCTTTCGTTGACCTCAGTTTGGTGCCGGCCTTCTCTTTCGGTATCGGCCTTCCGCGCGGCATTTTCGGGCGCCAGGGGCATCCTGCTGATATCTGTTTGGGACGAAACAAACTCAGGAGGGGAAAAAACACAGACACAAGAAGTGATCGTCGACTGCCAGGAAAATGGGGAAACATAGGGGGATGGGAGGGGAAGACAAACGCACCCAGAAAATATGAGAGAATATGGGGAATCCTGTTATTTGTGTGTATTTACTGGTGTGCCCCAGGGCCCCTTTGACAAGCTTCCCACGGGGAGGAGTCCAGCAGCTTCCAGACGTCTGCGCTCGTCAGTTGGCTGCGCTCGTCGGAGGCCTGCGCTCCTCGCAGTCGACCCCTCTCGGGCTTGCATTAAATCGTGCCTGTCCCTCTACAGGAGGAGTATTCAAGAATAGTGAAAAATAGTCTGGAGACGAATTTCTTATTTTTCGTCCAAAATCCCCCTGTAGGAGGACAGGCCCGACTTCAGGCTTGCAGCGAAGAGCTCTACAGGTGGGGCGGTCGCTGCCGCGGGCGGGGGGCTCCTGTTGAGGATTGGGCGGGGAGGCTAGGCACGAGCGAACTGGGTATGGAAAGGATGGGCACGGTGCCCAGCGGCAGCTCCTGCTCATCTCGAGCAGGACTCGCTGTCTGCGCCGCCGCGGCCTGTGCCCGTTGGCGACAGAAGGCCGCCTGCCCAACAGCGGCCGCCGTTGGTCTGGGGCAGCATTTGTTGTTGGACATTGTGCCCCCTGTTTCTGTACCCGTTTCGGGCGTCCAAAGAGGCGAGCTCGGCGGGGGAGCCGGTGGGATATACAGCGAGGGGCAGAGATGCACTGAGGCGGACACGAGTGTCCAGGCCGACCTTGGGGCAACCGCCTGCACGGCCTCCCCTGCCAGGTATTGAGGGGCAGTTGAAAGGAATGGGGGTGGCCCTGAGCGATGGACAAAGAGAGAGAGAGAGAGAGAGAGCGAGAGAGTGAGAGAGAGAGCGAGGGCCAGTCGCGTTCGTTTCCTGCATTGGAGCCTTGGGAAGCAATTCCAGACGCTCCTTCGTTCCTGCGGAAGTAGATCACTTCCGTCCCTGGAGGTGCTTCCCCCCCTTTCCAGCGACAGTGTGGCTCTCGCCTCCGCGCCGCGCACACTCGTCTTCCAAGTTGGCAAGAGCTTCGCTGATGGAGGGCGGGTCCTTTTTCAGAATGTGGTTACCGCCTTAGCTCCGCGCACATCTGTTTTAAAGTTGGCAAGTTTCACACATGGGGTTGTTCGAATGTGGTCATTGTTTTAGCGTCGCGCACATTCGTTTCAAACTTTTGCAACAGTTTCACGGGTGTAGGGCGAGGTTTGTTCAGTGGCTCTCGCCTCAGCGCCGCGCGCATTCGTTCCACAGTTTGAAAGGGTTTCACAGATGGAGGGCGGGTCCTTTTCGAAATGTGGTTCTCGCCCCAGCGCCGCGGACATTCGTCTTCAAATTTAACTAGAGCTTCACGAATAGAGGGCGGCACCTTATTCAAAATATGGCTCTCGTCGTAGCGCCCTTCACATTCGTCCGAATGTTAAACAAGAGCTTTGTGGATGGAGTAAGGGTCTTTTTAAAACATGTGGCTCTCGCCGCAGCGCCTCGCGCATAAGCCTTGCCAGTTTTGAAAGAGCTTCGTGGATGGAGGGCGATTCCTTTCGAGATTGGGTCTCGCTCTAGCGCCGCGCACGTTCGCTTTACCTGTTGCAGGGGATTGACGTACGGATGGCGAGTCCTTTTCGAAACGTGGTTCTCGCCCCAGCGCTGCGCATATTCGTTTTACACGTTTGCAAGAGCTTCACCGGTGGAATACGGGTCCTGTTCAGGATTCCGAGGACCCCGTAGTGCTCGTGCGCTCGCGTGCGCGCTGCCGCGTAGGCAATACAACAAACAACTGCATAATGGCCATCATGCTAACCTCGATAAGTGAGTCTTGACAATTCGCTCGTATTCTGGAAGCCTCAACGTGGAATAGTGCATTGTGACACCATGCGCGTTCTTTTGTTCGTTTTGCGCTCGTGTACGCGCACGAGTGCGTGCTCTCGCGTGCGCAATGCAAACACCAACACCATTGTAAAAACTGTTCACGCTGCTCCTTGTCCGCGCTCGCGCAAGTACAAGCGTGTGCGCTCGCCCTCGCGTGCGCAAGATAAAAGTAACAACAACAGCACTACAGACACACCATCGGAACTTCGAAGGCTACGCGGTGAAACTCACGTGTTTCAATCGTATTCTGCCGAAGTCAACGTGGCATCATGCATTGTGGCACGTGGCAGGTTCCTCAAGGCCCGCGCGTGCGTGCGCTCGCGTGCACAATGCTGACACCAGTACAGACTGGCCATTTTAGCTTCGAAGGGAAACCAACAAGGATTTACCCGTGTTCTGAAAACCGCATTTCCTTCATTGGCCGCTTGCGCGTGCGCGCGCATGTGCGCGTGCGCTCATTCCCGCGTGCGCAACACAACAACCAGTGAAGACGGGCCATCTTAGCTTCGAAAGTTGAGCGGTACAAACCAATCGTTTCAATCGTATTCTGAAAGCCTCAACGTCGAATAATGGATTGTGACGCTGCGCAGTTTCCCCATTCCTCGCGCGCGCGTACCGCGCGCGATCGTTCTCCAATGCGCAATATAAGCAAATAATAGATAATAACCATCTTAAGTTCGGCAATCCAGTGTTTCACTCGGATCCCGATGATCTCAACGTTGAACATTGTATTGTGACAGTGCGCGCGTTCCGCGAGCGCGCGCGCCAGCTCTTTCCCGCGCGCGCAATACAAACGCCTTTGACGAAGGGTCTTTTTAACTTCGAGAAGAAAGGGCTGGTGACACCGCGTTGTTTCATTCGTGTTCCGAGGGCCCCGTGCGCGCGCGTGGGCAATGAGGAAACTGCGCAGAGTCACGATGCATAGTTCCACGTCGGGGCCCTCGGCATGCTACTGGAACAACTGGTTTTCACCAGTCAGGTTTCCCAACTTGAAATGGCTATTCTTTATTGGTGCTGCCTTGCGCATGCGGCAGCGAGCGCGCGCGCGTGCGCGCGCGGAGGACATCTAGATGTTTCCACGTTCAGGCCTTCAGAATACGGGTGAAACATTTGGTTTGCTTCATCAGTCCTGTTTCACAGTTCAGATCGTTGTTTTGTATTGCGTGCGCGAGAACGAGCGCGCGCGCGGGCAATGAGGAACATGCGCAGTGTCACAACACATTATTCCACGTTGAGGCCCTCAGGGGACGAGTGAAACCATCGTTTTTCACCATCCTGTATTAGAAATTAAGATCGCCGGTCTTTATTAGTTTTTGCACTGTGCACGCGCGCGCGGGCGTGCAGGGACATGTGCAGCGCCACAATGCAATTGCCTACGCTGCGGCCCTCAGAATACGAGTGGAGCAATTGATCGTCTCCATTGAGTTCTCGGTTTTATGCCTGTCACTTGTGATTTGTTTTTGCATTGCGCGCGCGAGAGCGAGCGCGCGCGCGGGCAATGAGGACTTTGTACAGCCTCGCAAACCATGATTCCACGTTGACGCCATCATAATACGAGTGAAGCAATTGCCCATCACCATTCAGTTTTCGAGGTTTGGGTGGCTATTACTGAGACGACCGATGGGGTTAAGTGGCTCGCGTGGTTATATAATCTGGATCAGCTGGTCCAGATGGGGTTGTGAAAGTGGTTGGAAGAGGTTGTAAGCAAACTGTGAACGTGGTTGTAAACAAGTTGCCAACCCCATTATGTAACTACCTGGCCTGTTCCGGACCACATGTCAGAATTTCTGAATTCTTCTGGTGGAGCTCTGACCTGCATGCCCGTGGAAGCCGCGATCCAGCGTAGGGCATGCAAGAAAACAACAGGAGAGGCGAGGAGGAGGAGGAGACGGACGATGGGGGGGGGGAGGGAGGAAGCGGAGGAAGAGGACGGCATTTTTGGGCAAAGACGGGCAGTTGGAAACGTCTGAGGCGAACAGCGAACCGCGTCGGCTCGCTGTATCAGCACGTCGGCTGGCTTCGCGGGCGGAAGCCCGACCAGACGGGGGCGGGGAATGAGTGAGCTGTATTTCTCGTCGTCGTACCTCGTTGTCGTGGACGTCTTCGTCGCCGTCTCGCGTGCAGGGCACATCAATCATTCGCGGACGGAGGAGGTGGAGCAGGCGGAGGAGGAAGACGATGCGGCCGTTTCCGTTTATCTTGTGGTAACCTTGAGGAGACGGGAAGAGGGGGGGAGCAAGAGCCCGAATGCCGCTCTCAAGCGCTGCCAGGCCCAGCAGTGCTTGCCCCTGGAGCTTGCGATCCCCCCAGGGGCGGCCAGCAGCAGTCGGATCCCCCTCCAGCGCTGCGGGGTGAAGCGCCTGGGAAACAG